GCCACAGACCTATGGAAGCAGTGTTCTAGGCATATTATTGAAAAAGAAAATGAATATTGTGTTTTGCCTCCTGTAAATCCCGTTGTAATTCCTCTACAAGATGACTCTAGCGACAGCTCCGAAGGCGACGATGATATATAAATACCTATAATGTAAGTCTTTATATACCTTTTTATATACCTACCTGCTATGTAAATATTTGCCTATGTCAAACGTTGGAATTCTGTAATTTTTCCATTTCTTAACTTTCAGTCAACATAAATTAAACTCCCAATATAAGTATTTTTTATCCCAAATCAAAAAATAAGAAGATAGTAAAATCCATTTATTGTGATATAAAAACATTATTATTATCGTTCTAAATAAATCACCGCACGCCTATGATACGTCATGAAATTACAAAGGACGCGCCGACCAAAGGTTTTTATGCTATTTCAAGTGACTTCAAATATACCATACCTCCGTGTTCTACAGTCAGATACCGTCTACCTCCTCCGGACAGTTACGACATCCCTTGGGAGCGATGTCTGCTGTTGGTGCAGACTTCGTAGTATTTGAAAATGTCCTAGCGTGTTTAATGTCAAATTTATTTATACAGTGTCTCCCAGAAATAACACGCCATAGTGACACACGAGGTTTTCTAGTTTTCGATATATCGCCATTTTCAAGTTTTCTCAAAAAAAAATACTGTTTGCTCCTTTTTTGTCTGTTATGGCTATAAAGAATTTCTAACTTGTGATTTTTTTCTGCGCTACAATTAACAGTTGGTTGAGACAACCGAGTATTCATTTCATTGAAAACTAGCACGGTATGCTAAAAAAATTATTTCATTTGGTTTCAGTGCAAAAACATTTACTAATTACTGTGAAAAAATGTACCAGATTGAATCACCAAATACCTTAAAAACTAGCTATTTAATGCTCTTTCAAAAATAGTATATTTGTAGGTACTGGTCACTAAAAACTGAATAATTCTAACTTTTGACATTGAAGTCGTAATATACTAAGTGACATATAAATCCGAACACCCAGTTTAAATGGTTTATTTTATTTTAATAAAATTTTGTATAAGTACTTAATGAAGCATAATAAGTAAATGATAAAAATTTCAACATGATTGCACTGCTTTAAAGCCCTTTGAGCTTTAATAATGTGTGGATGCACCCTGATGTGCTACGCAGTCTCCAACGCGCCTAGGCATGCTTCTGATCAGGTGGTCAATCTCCTCCTGTGGTATCTCATTCCAGGCAACCACCAACTCCTCTCGAAGTGCTTCTAGAGTCTGAGGAGGACGTTGCAAATTGAGCAATCTCCTACCCATCATATCACACGTGCTCAATTGGGGATAAGTCGGGAGATCTTGATGGCCATGGTAACAATGTGACCTCATTATGTTGAAAGAAGTCTATTGTGACTCTTGCAACATGTGGTCGGGCAAGATCTTGTTGGAAAGTTGGATCTGCCAGGGTGTCAAGACAGGGTAAAAGATGGGGTTCTAGAACTTCGTGGATATAACGCTGCGCGTTCATGTTACCTCTGATGAAGATTAAAGGTGACCTGGAACCATAAGCTATAGCACCCCAAACCATAACTCCAACAGTGTGATGAACATATCTTTCAACAAAAAACTGTGGATTCCTCCTTTCACCACGTCGCCTTCTAACCCTGGCACGACCATCGTGCATGCCTAAACAAAATCGAGACTCGTCACTAAAGACAATACTGTCCTATTCCTGATCCCAGAGTGACCGTTGTCTGCACCACTCAAGGCGATTACGTCGGTGTTCTCAAGTTAAAGGAAGGACCCAGTGTGGCCGGTATGAAAACAAGCCAAAACTTCTCATTCATCGGTAAACACTTCGCATGCCAATAGGTCTTCCGTGTTCTGCAAACCATTCATTTGCAATGGACCTGGTAGTGGAGAAACGGTCCCTTAAGGCCAATAATCTTAGGCGGCGATCTTCACGGTCTGTTGTTCTACGGCGGCGTCCAGTGCCCCTTGCTCTTTGCGTACGGCCTTCTCGAAGCCATGCCTGACAACACCTAACCACAGTGTCTACACTTCTTTGTACTCTAACTGCAATTGCCCGAAAAGAAAGTCCAGCTTCCCGAAGTCCCACTATACTCACTAAGTTGACGAAATCGTACAGGTCTCCGATCGTAAAGGATGTCAAGAACCAAAATCCGCCAACGTTGATTCTTTACTGCGGCTGAAATATTCATTTTTAGAGCGTTAGTGAATTAAAAAAAAGCAGTATAAAAACCGGAATGTCCAACTGATAAGGCTGAAAATTTTTTCACTTGTTATTTACAGTAAGATAAATACATTCACCAACTTTTATTAAAATAAAACCATTTAAACTGGGTGTTCGGATTTATATGTCACTTAGTATACTTGCAAAATACTACAAATAAAAAATAATAAGTGCAGCTGTCTTCTGTGTCCAAATTACAACTTTGTAGTTGCTGTAATAGCTCTTTATTTTAGCAAATGACCATTATCCTTTTTTATTCATTGTTTTATCCAGGCATCAAAATGATGAACAGATCATTGAGTTGTATTTTTTTATTTCCATTTATTTTTACAACATTCCAATCAAATAAAGAAGTAGGACTCATTATTAACATCTTAAATTAACTAAACGAAAATTAAATTAACATCTTGTAATGTAAATATTACCTGAAATAAATGATTATTATTATCATTTTCACAACAGATTTTCAAAATGTCTACCACCGACTCTTATACACAACCTGCATCTTCTTAAAAATTGCCCTTTTAAACGTCTCAAACTCGAATCGGATATTTTGCGTGCTGACGGATTTGATAGTTTTCCTTAGACCATATCTTTTAAACATCCCCAATAAAAAAATCTAGAGGGTTCAGGTCTGGGGAGCGTGAAGACCACAAAATTGGTCCTAACCAACCGTCTTCTAGGGAGTGTATCATCAAGATACCCCTTACTGCACTAGCATAGTATGCAGGGCACCCATCATTCTCTAACCACATCCTTCTTCTCGTCTCAAGAGGCACATCTTTCAAAAGAACGGGTAGATGATGTTGCAAAAAAACTGAGCAAATTTAAGTTTTCAAGATCATTTGCCGACTCAGTCTGGCACAATTTTTTCACAGTAATTAGTCAAACTCTATTAAAGGTCTGCAAATTGAAAAACAGGTTCCATTTTTTTAAACTCGGATATTTCGGAGCAGGGTCTCGACCCCGTGGACACCCTCTGGATCCGCCACTGAGAAGTGGCGAGGACGCGTTCAATTGCTACGATTCTGCAGCTCCTGTTTGTTTATAAACATGTCAATGGTAATGTGTGGCACAATAGATGTTTTGTGTTTGGCCTTATTTTGTTTACAAATTCAATATCATGAATATAGTTGAGATGCTTAAATGAGTTATTGGAGTAAGTTGCAAAGATGTAAGAAGAAAGTGGAATTGCACGAACTCCGGCGCAGTTTATAAATCGACAGCTCCGAATACTATGAGGCGACTAAGAAAAAATGGTGGAGGAAAGTGTATTGGTGGTTCGGTGTCATTTTGTTTACAAACGTGCAAAGTGCCACCAAGTGATGTATGCTAAGACTGCTTACCTGAACTGCTGGTATAATGAGCTAGCTCTATATTCCGAAGAAACTTTAAATGACAAAGTTTGAGGGGGTATTCTATACGGCGCATTGTCTGTAAACTTTGGCAGCACCGAGTGTTATTGCGATCAAACAAATAAATTAATGTAAGATTGTGAGCTGTCAAAAGGTTATCGTAAAGTGGCGAGGAAACGCGTTTTGTGTTGGTCAAATAATTTAGGGTTAATTTATTTACAAATAAACAAATGCATTTATAACGAGTTAATAAATAGTTAGCTAGAACTTTGTAATTGTAATGATTACGTTGAATTAGTTTGAAGACAAAGTGGGGAGGGATGTCACTTGCTATTGGTCGCTACCAAGGAATTCGATTATATTAGAACCTATATGTTTACATTGCATTGTTTGTTGCCTAGTTTTAGTGTACACATTTGATTATTTTGGCCACCAATAAAAAGATAATAATAATACTTACCGATGGAAACATCTACCTCCATTAGGCATATGCCGCTCTTTGCAATTAAAAATTATCTTCAAACGCTCGCAAATTTTAAAAATAACACTAAAAGTTTTATCCTCACTACAGACTATGATAATTATGAGAGAAACAAATCCTTGACTGACTCCTTTTACCTAGTTTGAATTCGTTGGTCAGTGCGACGTCATCTTCTATTGTTGTCAAACAGAATAATGTCATCTTGGTTGCATGTTGTTTGATAAACATAGAAGCAGGCATTGTAAAAGCAGTGCGATGAACAAATAGGGGAGGGGATTGACTTGCTACTGGTTGATAGGGCGCCAAGACGTAGTCAAGAGTTTGTTTGAAGGCTTCAAAAATTGTAAAGTCTGGCAAAACTCGGTTTTCAAATTCGATCATTCAGACAAAAGATCAGTCAATATATGTATCATGAGATGTGATATTTATTGACCATGTAGGATGGACGTCAGCAATTATCTATGCTTAAAGTACATAGTGCTTTTAGCAAAATTAAGTTTATATGTAACATAGATTCCAACTAATCCTAGTGACTTCTCATCTAAAAGATATTTATTCAACTGTACATGAATAACTAAATTTTCGAAAAAAAATCTACATTCAGTTGTTGCCCAGCTAGCGAAAAGTTGGAACAGCTAACCCCCCTTGTTCCTCCCCCTTGCCAACTTCTATTGTTGCGGAACAAACGCATTTCATCTTCGTTGCATGTTGTTTGGTAAAGATAGAAGCAGGAATTGTAAAAGCAGTGCCATTAACAAAGAGGGGGGGGTAGTCACTTGCTATTGGTCGGTACGGCGCCGACTTCGATTGTTGTCAAACAAACGAATGTCATCTTGGTTGCATGTTGTTTATTGAAAATAGAAGCAGGCGTTGGAAAAGCAGTGTGCTGGACCGACCAGCTAGGACGTACCTGTCTGAAGACTCCGAGCTGTCATATCGGTCCATGCACCGCTTCTTATTCCTGCATTCCTCGTCGTCGTCGCCCTCATCTTTGGCCTTGTGGCTGCTGTCCCCCCGTCTAGGCAATCCCTTAGGGCCGCCGGCACAGACGCGATCGAACCCTGCTTCTCTTTCGTGGAGGAACACCCTCGGCGACACTCCAAGCGGGTCCTGGTGCAGCATCACACCCCCATGGCCTCCGACGATAGGCCACGACGTCGGTCCGTCTGCCATTTTGGAAACGACACACTGAGGCGCGGAGCTGGAACGCGCCAGCATCAAAGTTGGCGGCGGACGGACGCGCTGTCCGTGCAGAGCGCTGGCGCGATCTAGTAAGCCAGGAAAATGAGATGATAAAACCAACGAATTCTGACTAGGCAAAAGAAGCCAGTCAATGATTATGTTTATCTCCTTATTCGCATAGTTTTAGTGAGGATCAAAGTGTACGTGACATGAGTCAATTTTTTTACAGTTCTGTCCTAAATTTGAATTTTTAGTGTTATTTTTTAGAAGTGCGGGTGCAGATAATTGTGATGTCAGACGAATTCAAGATATGGTATACTTTATCTGAAGTCACTTGAAACACTGTGAAATACCGGGTGCGTTTTATATATCTATATTTAACACGCTCTGTTGCTGCAAAAATCACCAAATTTCGCAGCAAATATCCCCCGTATAAGATCAAAGGCAGTTTCACCGGTCCACGTGGAGTAAAGCACGCCTATGCGTGGACATAGCCAATGAGAAAGCGTGTATTTCAGAGCTCTGAACAAGTGCAGGTGGCTACTGAAAATTGAAACAGTTTAGCCAGTGCCGTGTAGCGGTGAATAAACGTGTTTTCTTTAGTCTGTCCGTGTTTTTTCATAGATTTTATTAGTTTGTGTGTTTTTGACTTTTGAATACTCAGTTTACTTGTTGATTTAATTGTTCTTGTGTGTCCTAAATATGGCTCTTTGGAGACCTTGGGAAAATGCTCCAAGCCACGAGGAGATGGTTGATGAACCTGTGCAGGCAGAATTCTTTCATAAAGATTTAGAGGAACAGACCCAAAGAGTAATCCTAAATATGTATGATTGTCTGAAAAACGAAAATCCAGATTCCTCGCAAAATCAAATTTTAAACAGAATTTGTATCCTGACAAAAATCAGTCGGTCTACCATTTATCGGGTTATAAAAAGGGGAGATGTAGTCAACCATTCCTTCCACAGAAAGCGCATAGGGCAAAAATTAAAAAGAATAGACGTGGGTTTTCAGGAAGATATTCGTCGTATAATATACGGATTTTATAAAGAAAATTTGGTGCCCACGTTGGAAATGATACGGGATAAATTAAAAGATTATCCTGAAGATTTTTATAATTACAAATGCTTAGACTCACTGCACTGTATTGTAAAACTGTGTGGTTTTCAATACAAAAAATTAGATAAAAGAATGGTGATTGTGGAGTCGTCTCGAATCGTTGAATTGCGCCAAGAATTTTTGCACAAAGTTAAAATCTATAGAGAGCAGAAAAGAAATCTGATTTACCTGGATGAAACGTGGTATGATACCCATGATGATGTGCAGTACGGCTGGGTTGACGACATCAACAAGTGCATTTTAAATGCACCATGCAACCGTGGAAAACGAATCATTATTCTACATGCTGGCAGTGAAAATGGATTTATACCTAATGCCTTGCTGTTATCTGCCAAAAATATCAAAGAATCATGTGCCGACTAAAATGAGGACATGACCTCCGACTTATTTGAAAAGTGGATAGAGCAGCAGTTAATACCAAACATTTCCTCAAATTCAGTGATTATTATGGACAATGCGCCATACCATTCCCGACAGAAAAACAAAATTCCGAATACAGGCACAAAAAAACAAGACATTATTGATTTTATGAAGGATAAGGGAATGGAAATACCACAAAAATCAACCAAAGCCATATTATTGGATCTTATTAAAAGACAAAAATTTGAAAAAGAGTATGTTGTTGACAATCTGCTTCGGCAAAATGGCCATGAAGTATTACGTCTACCTCCCTATTACTGCATTTTTAACCCGATTGAGTTGGTTTGGGCTGCTTTAAAAAAAGTAAGAAAACATAATCAGACCCCTCAATTAAGTGAATCGCTGTTGGCCACAATAAGAGATGCAGTATCTCATATTGCTGCCACAGACCTATGGAAGCAGTGTTCTAGGCATATCATTGAAAAAGAAAATGAATATTGTGTTTTGCCTCCTGTAAATCCCGTTATAATTCCTCTACAAGATGACTCTAGCGACAGCTCCGAAGGCGAGGATGATGTATAAATACCTATAATGTAAGTCTTTATATACCTACCTGCTATGTAAATATTTGCCTATGTCAAACGTTGGAATTCTGTAATTTTTCGATTTCTTAACTTTCAGTCAACATAAATTAAACTCCCAACATAAGTATTTTTATCCCAAATCAAAAAAATAAGAAGATAGTAAAATCCATTTATTGTGATATAAAAACATTATTATTATCGTTCTAAATAAATAACCGCACGCCTATGATACGTCATGAAATTACAAAGGACGCACCGACCAAAGGTTTTTATGCTATTTCAAGTGACTTCAGATAAACCATACTTCTTAAAAAATTTGCAAAGAGCCGCACAAGACTAATGAAGGTGAAGGTAGATGTTTCAATCGTTGTAAATAAGTAAATATAAATAAATAACACACAACACTTAATGAAACACAGAACAATCCTAAGAAAAGGAAGTCCAAGTAACAAAAATAGAAAACAAACAAAAAGCAGGTGATTCTATCTAAAGGTAAAAACAAACAAGAAAAAGAAGCAAAAGATATATTTTACTCACGTGAGAATCATACCATAGATTGTTTAAGAATTCCTTGCTACTCCCAGAATGCTGTTCAAACTGTATGCCACAATAATTAGATATGGCATTGAAAGTTTCACAAATTACATAATTATATGGATGTTTTCAAAAATAAATTTGTGCGAGCCCTGTCACAATAAGAGGTTTAATTTAGTTGAGCCACAGTCTCATTAGCATCAATTTGATTGTGCTCCCGTTTATGCAAGAAAATAATTTAGGCACACTTCCTTCTCAGTCCTAAAGACTGCATTTGGAACCTAAATAATAACAAACTTTCAGATATACCCTGCTCAAGCTATGCACCGTCAACCTTGAAAGATAAAAATGTTAGAAACTTTCTCCTAATATGCTCAAGAGAATCATTGCACCAGTTGTAAATTGGGTTCCAAATTAACGATGCACATTCCAATTTCGATCTAACAGTGGCGCTGGGCGGCTGAAGCTTCTGCAGTTACTCACAATAAAACCGTACGACCGTGAAGCTTTACTCACCTTTTGAGATATCTGGAGTGAAAAATTAAGTTTACACCAAAATCCTTAATTGGTTTTGTTCTTCTTCCTAAATACCAACCCTCACTCACTATTACGGATTCATTTTGTACTTGCTAACAGCTCTTTTATTTAGAAAAGTTCTTTTGCATAAAAAAACACAACTACAAGCAAAATAGCTGCCATATATATATATATATATATTTGAAGTTGAGTCATTAATTTTCAGATAATGATTGTAGAAGGAAGATAAACCAAAATATGTGTGTAAAAATAAAAAAAAAATTTTACCTTGTTTTATAAAGTATCCTCCCGACAAGTATTTCAGTGCGGACCTGTATTTGATCGTGCGGTCTTGGAGCACCGGCATGCCCTCCCCTGTGAGGTCTTAAGTCACCTGATTCACGAGCCCTTTGTACTACATTCAGCATTTTCGTAAACATGTGCCATTTTTGATTTCGTTTGAGCCACGCAACAGACACCACTATTCACTCACGCGTCACCGACCCACACTGACTGTATACAACTGAATAAAGTAATTGTAAAAACATCGTTCAAAATTCTTTCGCTTTTTTGTTTCCGATGCGATGAACCGATAAGGCGGATTATATCCGTTGTTGCCAAACACGAGCACAGAATATTATTATTGAGAGAGGACGGTGCTCAAACTTCCAAAGGGTTATAACTTTGTTACTTTAATTTTACCAGAAAAATGGTAAAGGAAAAAACATTTCTTTTGATCAGATCTACTCACTATTAAAATAAATGACTCAACTTCGAAGTCACCCTGTATATCATAACTTCATTTCAAGTCAGGTTTAGGTATAAGGTAAGCTAAATTGTTCTTAACTGTGTTAATCACCTCTACTTCTTGGAACTAAAATACCATATGATTTTGAAGGACAGTGAAACAGCCATACAATTGATTCAAAATGTAATAACCAAATTGATACAGGTTCGATTCCCTGAATTAGGTCTGAACACTACTCAGGTAATATCTAACACTCTAAACATCCAGGCTTGTGGAAAGGAAATAAGAAATGTAGTTTGTGGTTTCTACAAATTTATTTTTTTGCAATCAAAAGGATGAGCTGAAGACGTAGAATCTGCTCTCCAATGGGTCATACGTCGAACATACTCAAGCTCGTCACTGCCGATGGGAAGCTCCAAAGTCGTGTCATTGAAAATCGTCAGCCATCATCATAAATCTGGTTTCGTTTGATGATATTTAACCTGTTACACTGATGACAGAACAAACCAGAAATGTGTGTATAACATTTTTAAATGTAAAATTACAGCTACTGGAAAGTACAGTCTGTTCTACTGACTTATCTCCTAACCAATAAATCCCAGATGTACGGTAACAATGTTCTAATGAACATTTCTTTATGTGTACTCCGTATATTTTGCTATCAAAATTCCCAATCACTAAAAATGTCTAGATATATGAACAACAGTTCTGAGCACGGTTTTAACAGATTTACACCCGAGTCAATATCGCGAACCTTACGTTCCAACACGTCACTTGCTGATCAGCTATTCACCTCAGCAGACGTCAAAACATAAACGACACTCATGAAATAGGCTGTATACAACTGCTAAGCTCGGTGGTATTGGAAGCCTTATTTTCCTGGGCTATATGGGGCGGCTGGGGGGCAGCGGGGGTTCGGGGGGAACCGGCAAGCAGGCAGACCGCCGCCTGTGCCGCCGACGACAACGTCGACCACGGTGCACCACGTGACGTCACGCAGGCAGGCGCACCGATCGCACGTTGTCGGATCTGATCGACGGACGCTAGATCCGAGGATGAATCACGGCACTACCATCCGTGCTGCAGTACCTGATATTCATTCATTGAGTTGACACCTCTGGCGAGTGGTAACATGCAATATCCGGCTCGAAGGACCAGTAAAATATTCTGATATATGTTCACA